TTTTTGTTATATATATATATATATATATATATATATATATATATATATATAGACCTATATACATATATAGGCTATGTGTGTTTGTGTGCGTGTGTGTATTTTAATTTTTTTAATGTAATTGTTATCAGAGTGCGAGCTGAATTATTAAGCCAAAATGAGTTATAATGCATTGTTATTTAAGTTATATAGCGTTTGTTTTGGTTTTCCTAAGATGTATATAACAGTGTACCTGTGTGGTCTGTTCAAAAAATACAATTTACAAATATGCAAATATAATAACAGTATTAATAACAGCAATGTAACAGTGTAGCCTATTACTTTGACATTAAAATGTGCACGCAAAAACAATAATGGTACTAACAGCAACAACAACAATTATTATTATTACAGTTTTTGCCCGTTTAATATATTTTCAAATGCATGCCTAAAGTATACAGATCCTATTTCTTTTATAGTTTTTCTTTCTTTCGTGGCCCTATAAATTTAACAATTATCCTGTTGTGTTGTAAACAGCTAAAATAAAATTTAAAATAGGCCTATTTGTGAAAAAAATATTTTTATAAAATATTAAATAGTAGGTTGGCATACAAAGGATTTCATATGTATTCCTCCCTTTGCATTTTAATGAAATAGCCTACATTTTACTTAGGCCTATAAATGATAATTGTAGCCTTGCCAGATAAACGATTTCATATACTTTTGAAATCTCTCTGAATATGACTTCTTGTGTTTCTCGAGGCCTGCTAATATTTCAAAACGAGGATCGTACATTAAACTAATTTTCGTCGCTGTGTTTTTTTAAGTGGGTTACAAACTGTGAAGTGTGCGACGATAGGAGTTTTGGGGGTGCTGAGATTTGCTCTGACGGAAAATACACGCTAAAATACAAAAGCTTACCGTCTCTCGTCCGTTCATCTGAACGGTTTTAGCCAGACGAGACTCCGTTTTAGATCTCCTCTCCATCTCCTCCATGATCCCTTGAATATGATCCCCAGAGATGCCGTGGAAAAGCATGGCTGCTGGACGCAATGTGCAACTGCTTTCTTTCGCCTTGCACCCCACAACTTCCATATACAGCTTTCCGGATCCTTAAAACATCCGAATGGATCTACACCAACAAATTCACACAAATGCAATCAATATTTTAAGAATAAAGCCGGTAGGATTTGATGGATGGCGCAGGAACAGGCAGGAGAACCAGTCCACTTCTCCACTGTCTTGTTGGGCAGGAGAAAACAAGTATAGTCCGGACGATACAAGGCAAAGCTGAAGTCTGGAGGATGTTTTAAACGTAGATTTTCAGATAGTCCCAATCTCCTACTGGGGATCCGAATGCTTGAAAGTCAGGTTTGGGACTGTCTGTGTTAGAGATCCTGTGTCCTATTTGTGAAGAGAGCAAACGCCTGCCCAGCTTGGGTAATTGGGTAGGAGGAGTCCTCCCTCTCTCCAATGCCACTGATTTCTATTCACCAACAAAGACCTGTCACTCTCTCTTCAAACCGATGGTGATGGGCAACCCGAGCTTGGAAAGCACTTGGTATAGACCTTTTACTTCTTTTTAGCTGGTGTTTTGCCACTTTTTTTGTGAGGCTTTCTTTTTTTTCTTGTAGTTTTCAGCTTATGCTTCTACAAATGCGTGTAACGGAATAGCCAAAGTGTTCGTGAATTAAGTGTTGAATCACTGCACATTGTAATTCATCTGATCTCTGCGTGTAGTTGAGTTTTGTTGGACAATTGCGATTGGGAAATTGTCTCCCAGAGTTGGTTTGGTTTAGTTTATTATTGCAAATTACAGCCAATATGTGCACCTGAAAGCCTGTTTGTGTCATTTACAATTAAACCTCTAAATACAGTATTTTATATTTTGTTGTTTATTTTCTCGCTTATATATTATATTTACATGCATATATTACAATCAAGTAGCATATATATATATATATATATATATATATATATCATCCTGCACCTTGTATCTTCCCTGCATACATTCAAGTAATGTACTTTATTCTTGAATTAGAACATGTAAAACCGTTTGAGTACCATATATGACATGTAAAATGAAAGTGGACTAAAGTGGTGGCATGCAATTTTAAAAGTTGTCAGACTGCTTTATCAAGGTGTGTGTGTGTGTGTGTGTGTGATGGTCTCTTTCTCTTCGAGCGAGCTAGGGAAGGGGGAGCGATGCTGTTGGGAGGCGGAATAAGCAGTTATTTACATTCTTTGATTTTCAGATGTCAAACGTCAAATGAATCTCATTGCCACCGTTTCTTTTTCTGTAGCCTACCAATACATACGAGGAATGGTCTAGAATTAAATTTGAAAATGATAACAATTAGGCTACCTCCTTGGTAGCAACCTAAATCCAATTAGTCGTGATAGTAATGATATCAAAGGCAGCATGGATTACGTAGGCGATATGTAAGCATCTCTTTATTTACTCACTCGTTTCGTTGATTTATTTTATGAATTGTTGCTCAAGGGTTGCCTTTTTAAATGTACACACGCCTTGCATTAAATTAATTAATATATTTTGAAATAAGGAATGAGTGAGCATTGTATCTTTTTCATTTTTATTATTTACAGGAATAAGTCTAAGTAGTTCAGACAGACAGCCGCTTCCTTGTGTCATTTTATCTTTCTCTTCAGTCCAATTAGTTCATGGTTTTAATTAGCTTCGGAATATATTCGTCTTTTCCATGCCCTCCTCTCAAACAATTTTCATAAATGATTTCACCCATTAGGTAATATTTCACGAATTCGTCCTGATCTCGAGATATATAACAGGTCACAATCGCGCGGTTAACTTCATAAAATCGACGGAAAAGATTAATCTCTTTATGTCTGTAAAGTCACCAAATGAGCTTTATGCGAGTTCACTTGGTTCAAACGAAATCTTATAAATCTTATAAAAATGTGATGGTTTAAAATGCAATATAGCTGCTACTTTTGCATAGGTAGGCTGCGAAGCAGATTACAGTCCGTTTGTTTAATGCCTTGCAATTGCTATTTTAAACATTTATTTTGCTTAAAAAAATAAATATGATTATATTGAACTCTCGTGTTTTTCACTTGTTATATTTTTAACCAGCTAATTATTGTACTCTGTAGTCTTAAGTCCCACAGCTCTACGCGAGCAAATTATTTTATTACAAGCAAAATCGAATCAGGTTGTAGTCAAATTTACCTAAAATAATATTTGCTCTCTACTCTTTTCCAACACCATCAAATTTGTCTTTAACAAACGAAAATCCGTTTAATAATTAGCCTTTTGTGGTATTTAGATGTACTGATCTCACATTTTGATATATCAGCATTTTAATTGAATAGCGAGACAGCTAAATATTGTTCATACCGGATCAGGCTTCAATATAAACGTTAATCTTTAATTCGATTTTCAATCAACATCTGCAATAACTTTTACCTGTCTCAACTGAAGGTCTCTCCTCGTCAATTATGCATAAATAATCTTCTCGAATCTCTGCAAAGCAACTCAATTGATCGTTTACAATGGTAAAACCGTGTATTCATGTACATAAGCAATATAAAAGTGGTATTTTACCGTGAGCCGCAGAGCGCCGTCCTGAAGCCCCAGCAGTGCTGCGGTGAGAGAGGGATGGATGAGGGTGAGACACGAGCGATCCTACCAGCAGATGGGGGCTGTTCCTTGTTTCTCGCGTGAGTGTCAATTACGACAAATCCAGCGCGAGCACTGAATATACATCAATTGTCTAATGCACAAGGCCCCTTTTCGAGAGTTGTTAGAGGCGGATAGATTAATAATTTTCTCTGTGAATGTTCTTAATGTTAAATCATTAACTTAGGTTAACATTATGCAGTTTTCATACCTTGAGGCGTCATATGAGGCTACTTAGATAGATAGATAGATAGATAGATAGATAGAACACAATTTACAAGTCCATGGAGTGTGCTAAAACGGGTTAGTTGTAACACAACATCAGATTAACCAATTAGAAATGAGCTACAGGGGTGATATCATCATCATACATGATCACCAACCTCTGAAGTGACAGTAGAAGTTGTAAGACTGTTTTTTGTCCTGTAATTCTTTCATATTTTCACAGAATTTTGACGTGAGGAAGTATAATTTCACATCTGACTTATAATGAGGTTTGTGATCATTCTAATGAATGTGAAATGACAGAACTGATATCATCTGAATCAGCAGGTTCCCCATTAAATTGATATGCAAGATCCATGCCAGATTTTTGTCTAAAAAAAAAGAAAAAGAAAGCATGGCTAAATAGACAGAGAAAGTTGTAACACTTTCAAATTTATTTGGTCTTTTGAATTACATTTGCCATTTTGAATTAAAATGTTTCGCAATAAATTGGGTATAGTGCAGAATTATTTTGAACAAGCAAATTTGATTATCACCATAAATAAATGCACAAAATTTGAAAAGTGATGTCCATGTTTTCAATTAGTGTTACAGCCCATCTGGTAGTGTGGTCGGTTGTAACTTTTCTTTCTACTTGACATTAATTTACACAGTTTAAGTAGTAGTATACGATTTGTCTTACGAATTTGGATAAGACAAATATGGGAACATTACACTCTAAAAAATGCTGGGTTGTTTCAACCCAACTTTGGTTGAAACAACCCAGCATTTTTTAGAGTGTATATCACATTCTGAGACACACAGCACATAAAAAAACAGTTACAGATGAAACAAAATATGTTACAACAGTCCCAGTCTTGCCTATATAATGCACAGCACAAAAACAGCACATTTATAAAAGCGCCAAATGTAATTAAATTGCAAATGCATTTTAAAATGCACACTGTATAACTGGAAGAGCATATAGATCAACCAAAGACAACAACACAAATGTAATATAATGCACAGCTTTGTGACAACAGTTCAGAGTAATTTAATTTAACAGCTGAAAAAATCTTGCTGACTCTGAAATCTGCTGTTAAAAAAGACAAAAGTATCTAAGGTACACACCTAAACCCTACGTGCTCAAGGCCCTCTGTGGCTTGTTCTTCATGTTGTGGAGTTGGTACACTAAGCTTTTATAGGGAATTGTTTGCTCTGTTTTGGGGAAACGCATTTAAACTTTAAAAAGTGTGAAAGATCATAAATCTGCTCTCCAACACTTTGCCACTTTGTGAAACACACAAAGCCATAAATGCAATAACATCCTAAATATTGCAAATCTGTCCACTGATTCAGAAACATGGCTGACCGAAGAATGGAAAGCATTTTGAATTTCTTTAAATAAGCTATTGGAGTAAGAGAAAAAGCCATCTTATCTTCAGAGTTTGGCTTGCGGGCAACCTTTCACGTCAGGCAAGTCAAAGGGGAGGAGACTTAGGCATCAGCACACAAATAGTCCTTAAAATAAAAAAAATAAAAAACACTGTAACATTACCAAATGCGCACTACTAAATTTCCCAGGCTCAGTTGCTGTTGACCACATTGTATACAAATCTGTTAAGTTACAACAGCAATCAAATGTAAAAAAAATACCCCAGCCATAATCATCTAGAATAATCATAATACTTTAGCGGATCTCATTCATTATGTCTAAAAAAAACTATGGTAGGATACAGACAATTACACAGTAACCATGTCCATTTATGAACCATATGTGACGGCTGAACCACGAAACAAATATTTACAAACTGAAGATGGACAACGATTTCTCCAGAGCCGTCGCAGTGCACTTTTTTAAGAGGCAACAAAGCCACAGAGCAGATGCTCCTCACTGGTGTTTTGTGCTTTGCTTCGAAGAGGGGACGTTCAGTCTACCGTGCCTGATGAGAATTTAGCTGCTGTTAAAATCTCTCTCTCACTTTCCCTCCCTCCTCACCACTTTTCTCTTGATGCTGAGCCCTGCTCTGCTGATGCAAGAATCACAACTCCCTGTGTTGACAGATGGAGGATGGCTCCATAGCACATAGCCCGTCCCAACAGTCCAACTGCTGCCTAACCAACAGTTTTTTCACTTCTCCTCCTTTTTTCCTGTTCTTTTTTTTTTCCTTCCTGCACCACTATCCTGAATTTACTCATCCCAATGAAGTAATCCACCTCCATTACAGTGCTTGCAGGAAGGACAGTATTTAAATTCCTCAAACATTCTGGTTTGGGTTTCTTCCAAATCCCAGACCCTAAGTATTAAATCAAACCCTTTATTCTCCAAAAACATAATTCCTTAAAAAGCACTTCCTTCAGGACAGTCAAATTACTAATTTTAACATCGAAGGCTACGTCTCAATTAGCTAGCAATTTCAGTAGTCAATGCACTGGCCAGTGAGTCAGGCATTTCGAGACCGGTCCCATTGTCAAAATCGCTCCAGTATAATGTAATGATTGCTTCCAAGAATTTCCCATAATGCACTGT